CAGCCCCCTTGTGAAGTTTTCACATTCTCCGTTAGTCTTCAAGAGGAGGATTGACAGTGATATCTGGAACAAATGTATGTGAATAATGATGAGACAGAAAAATCACCAGGAAGGAAAGTCCAAAAAAAAAAGTCATATAGTTGTCTGCAAGGAACTATGCCCTTTCCAAGATGAACTGTGTCAATGTGTTGGTAAACCCTGTATTCCATCAAGTGCAGGGGATGCTCGCAGGCCTTTTATGCAAGACAAGAAGGAAAAGGGCACTTCAGAGTCACCAGCTATGCAAAGAAAAAAGGGCTTAATGCCTATCGGCAGGTGCCTTTTCTCCAAATACTAAGAAAATCTTCCCTTGCAGACTTAGTAATATATTTAATGTAATGTCAGAGAGGAAGACAAATTGTTTCCCATCCCAATTGAAGGTACTGGTCTTGACTCATGAATCTCTGAATGGCTTGGAGCTAGAATATGAATACTGTACCACCTCTCTCATCTAAGTCTCCTCATAATGGAATAATGGTGTATATTCCAAGATCCTGAGAAGCTAGAGTAGGTGGGAAAGGACTTAGGACAAGGCCTTTTCCGTATTATCACTTCCGGTGTGGAATTCCCCCCCCCCCCAATAGAAAGTCAGGGCATCTTCATCTCCAGTGGGTTTTCAGCTGACCATAGAGCGGATGTTGTTTCACTGGGACTTTTATTCTTCCAAAGTTTTATTTTATTTTATTGTGGTTATAGTGTACATTGCTTTGAGGGCTCTGGTGGACAGAGAAGTGATGTATGAAATACATGCTATAAATAACAAATATCCTTCCCAGAGACATATAGTTCTCTCTCCTCATTTCTCTCAGATGGGACTTTAAGTGTCTTCTCAATGGATTAATTTTTGCACACTTGCTTCACTATTGTATAGTCTTTGAACAACAGTGTTTTCAGTGAATGTGGGGCCAAATAAGTATTTTGTTTTATTTTCATTCAACTCACATCTATCTCCTCCACCCTAGTCTAGGTTACTAGTTACATGTTGATACTACTGTACTTGGTTCCAAAATTGTTACCAAAGACTGATACTGATACAGCATCTACATATTATTTTTCAAGTTCATATGATTGAACAGGGTCTTTTCTCACATTAAAATTCATTTTATCCAATGATTGTTAAAGAAACTATATCATAGTGGATAAAGGACAATTTGTATCTGCCAGAGCTGCAGTCTGTCATTTACAATGGTTAAACGCATCATGAAACACATATTCCTTCAGAGATGTGAATTCCATGGTGAAAATAACATGTCAGTTTTCGTGTGTGATAATGGTCAGAAATCTGCTTTTTAAAAAACTGTATGTACAGACTTATGAGCAGTAGCCATGCACTATATCAAGAGCCTTGTGGCACAGTGGTTAAACTGCTGTACTGCCAAAACTGTGCTCACGACCTGGGGTTCAATCCCAGGTAGCGGCTCAAGGTTGACTCAGTCTTCTATCCTTCTGAGGTCAGTAAAATGAGTACCCAGCTTGCTGGGTGGGCAATGCATAGCCTGCATAATTAACTTGTAAATCGCCCAGAGAGTGCTTGAAACACTATGGGGTGGTACTGTATATAAGCAGCACGCTTTGCACTATATCCCTGTACTGTATATGTACAGCAAAAGTCGACCAGCACATGTGCTCATTATCTGTGCTTAGCTGCATGCAGGATATATGTTAATAGTGATATCTATGGACAAATCATGATAAGACACATCTGAATCAGGTCTAATCTGACTTTGAAAGGCTTGACAAAAGTCCTGGCATCACTGAGATAACAATGTTCATTAGCGGGTTCATGTAATGACCTGTAAGTTCCTTTACAAATTTCAGTGCATGTGCTTTACAAATTCCAGTACAAATTTCAGACTAATTACTTTGTCAGAAAAGAATAATTTTCAAAGCCATGTGAAAATCATGGAAGGAAAATATTGCATGGAATATGCTAAATTAAAGGCACAAATTGCTTTGTATTTAGTTGGTAGATTAGTGGCCCTTATTTATTAGTTTAATTAGTGGTCCTCATTCTGGACTCTGAAGGCTGGCCCCAGGCTGTTCAGGCTGTGATACTGAAAAAATCACCATGCTGAAGACAGTTTACATTTGTATGCAGCTTGCATGACCATTGAGTGCTTGCATTCAAGTCAAGTGTCTTGACTCCAAATTCAGATTTGCATTACTGACAAATGAAAGGAAGACTTTTGCATTTGAAGTACAAAAGTATCAGATGAAAGTCTCTGTCACTTTTTTAAACAGGAGCAGGAGAGGAATGGGGTGGGCTAATGGGTGTAATGATAAAATCACTTCTAGATCCTTAGTCAAAATGTTATTGTTTATGGCCATAGGCCTTTACAATACTTCTAGATCCTATGCTTTACCCCTTTCATTCCTGTGATAATTTATAGCACAGTATGGAATCAGAGAGACACAGTCATCTGTGCCAATAGGTCTGACAGAACAAAGGAGAGACAAGTTGCTCATATTTGGAACCTCAGCACAAGCTATAAAATTTAATTCCAACTACCAGGCAGTACTTTTAAAAGTGTGTTTTCCCTTAGATTTTCTTTTAAAGCTCATACTGTCATGAAAATGTTGAAAGGATGTTTTGTGGAGCAAGAGACAAGCTTAATTTTGAAGAAAAGATTGTCCATTCATTTGTTGGCCAGTCTCATATATAAAAATAAATGACAATTATGTGTTGAGATTTGATTTAAAACTCCAAGGACAAAAAATTGTAGTAGCTTTTCAGTGACATGGAAACAAACTATATATTACAGAGAGTTCAGCTTGACATGTAACATACAGTTTCACCCTTAACTTTACCAGTAGCAACCTTTGTGGTGTCTTTGGACAAAAACTCCTCCTTGTTCCAGAATTTCTTAAGGAACCTGCAGGGAATTTCACCCCAAAAGGAAGCTTGATCCGTAAGGAACACTTTCTAACTGTTCAGAAGCTTAGGGAATTTTGTAGGGCTAAAAAGAAATTGAAAAGAAGAGAAATTGGGGCACCAATGAGTAGTACTCAGGAGGCCTGGGTTGAAATCCCTGCTCAGCCATGGAAATTCACTGGGGAGTGGAAATGGTAAAGTCATTCCATAAATGTCTCACGTGCCTTGAAATTCCTATTACGGTAATTGTAAGCTGGTTCCTACTTGGCAGTACATAGCAGCAGCAACAACAAATTAAAGTGAATATTTCACCCTAGAAATGCAGACAATTCTCCTACTTGCTCTAAGCAAAGAAATTAGTTGAGAGGGAAACAAGAAATGGAGAAGAGTTCAATTATTATACAAAAGATTTGGACTATATTTCTTTCTTATTGTGATTATGGCCATGACCAAAAAAAGGCTAGAAATGGTTGCTGTAGGTTCAGAGGATTGCACCTAATTATATTACAAGCTTAATTACCACAACAAGGCAAGCCAAAATGCTCTTGTTTACCACAGTGCTCCTCATCCATTGGGTATTGAATTAGGGGATATCTAAACCACCTTGGGTCTCCATATCCAGAGAAAGTTGGCTTATAAATAAAACAAGTAAATAATTTATATCTATATAAATTTAGGACTTTCAAACCCAGTTATTGCATAGAGATTTTAAAAAGATTTCTGTAGGATTTCTGAGGAACTTTAGTTCTGTCTTGTAGATAGACAAAGTTATTATTATGTATTCTCCAAGGCTTTCATGGCCATGATCTGATGGTCGTTGTGGGTTTTTCGGGAATAATAATAATAATACAGCTGTGCTTATTTGAATATTCTGGGAGTTGTATATAAAAAAAGTAACTTCGCCTTTCTCTGAACTGTTTTATCGGATCAGACTTCCTTTAGTTTGGAGAGAAGTTATTGCCCTCTTTTTTAAAGGTGCCATGTTTGTCCTTGCCACCTCAACTTAAAAGGCATCAGGAAACAGATGGCAGGAGGTACTTCTGCCAATACAGCTGTGCTTATTTGAATATTCTGGGAGTTGTATATAAAAAAAGTAACTTCGCCTTTCTCTGAACTGTTTTATCGGATCAGACTTCCTTTAGTTTGGAGAGAAGTTATTGCCCTCTTTTTTAAAGGTGCCATGTTTGTCCTTGCCACCTCAACTTAAAAGGCATCAGGAAACAGATGGCAGGAGGTACTTCTGCCCAATACTTCATAAATCTCCAGCCCATTAGTTATGTGCCATCAAGTCAGAAATGATTTATAGGGACCCTAATAGGGCTTCCAAGGTAAGTGAGATATTAAAGAAGCATTGTACCAGTTCCATTCCCCCAGTGAGTTTCTATGGCCAAGCAAGGATTACATCCCTGGTCTCCAAGTCCTCATCTATCACTCTATCCACTATGCCACACTGGGTATGCTCATTAATATGAGTAAATATTGGGCAAGTTATGCACATATTCTAAGGTGGTATTAGGCAGCATCCTAATACTACTCTGCCAGTCAAGCTGAGTAGTATATTTAGGGTGTGTGTTATACAGATATGCTTCATTAAGTGATGAAATAGGTCTGCTTTTCATAGCATATTACTTTCTTCACCATTGTATTCTGTGTTCAGCATGCTTTGTTTTGGAATTGACTTTTGGAAGATAAACACATGCTTAATTTGCAAATCTGATTGCTGAGTGATGTATCTTTGAGAAAATACTATTGTAGGAGAGCAAATGGGTTAGTAAGAGAGAATACTTGTTCCTCTTCCCATCTAATTTGACCCAGAGCTATTCTGTATTTCTTGTCAGACTCTATAACAGAACAGAGTATCAGAAAATACATGTACATAGACATTTGTTGCTGCCTGTGGTGAAGATTTCTTCTCAATTCCAATGAAATTTAATTGTGCTCCAAGTTCCTTTGAAATGCTTTTAGTTGGACTAAGGCCATCATGTAGCACACCAAACAAGAATAAGGTATCAGCTTTCTGAGAGTAGTTATAGATTGCATCCATCAGGCATTTTATCATCTTCTTTCCCCTCCCCCCTTCCTATAATAGGACACCGTCAGAAACTAGATGAACAGACAAAGCCTGGGAGTTTGTCCTTTTCAGAACGTCTGAGTGAACTGGAGCAGTTGCGTCGCACGGCCATAAGGGTCAGCCCACACCACCCAGCCCCCACACCTAACCCAAGAACGTCCTTGAACCACACCACTGGTTTTAACCCTCAGCCTCAGAGCCAGATTCAGGGTAAGTACCTGAATTTCCTCCCCAACTCCCATGCCTGTCATCGTGGAGAAGGTTGTTCATTGGCCACTGGAATCACTGTGAGAATAAACTGCTTTGCAGGATGGCACTCTGGATTTATTTTTATTTATTTTTTTGCCAGTAGACTTCATCTGTCACAAAAAAAATAGTAGCTGTGCTGAGACAGAAGGGGAAATGGCAAAAGAGAGAGAAGGGGGGCAGTATAGACCAAACTCTAGTTTCCGTTATTACTTTTCTTGTGGTTTAACTTCGGTATCACCCACCCTTGCCTGTAGATTATGTACAAGGACCACATATCTCTTCCCCCCCCCTTTTGTTGTTACAAAATATATGTGTAGAAACATAGCACAGGCTCTAATACTCCAACAGCTTGTGGCAGAACGTCACGTGATGCACCATGGAAGCTTAGTGGCTGCTTTTCCTATGGGAGAATAATTTCAGGAAGCAGAAGTTTGTCTTCTTAATAGCAGCTTCTTTACAGGGAAGCCACCATCAGGTTTTTATTACAAACATTTGCATGTCACATGGTTATTCATCTGGAGTTCAAGCCTGCTCCTTTGTTACTCAGTGTGCTCTTGAATTAACTATGACCAGGTCCTTGAGAGCACCTTGTCATTGCAAGGTAGTCCACATGTTGTACCTGATTTCTGCTAGAAATCTCTTCATCACTGCAGCCTCCTTGCTTGCCCGATCTGAAAAAGAAACAAAGCTTGGGAAGAGTTACTTCATTATGTTTTGTCATGGAGAGGAATTTCCTCATGATATCTTACCCTGGGTATTAACTGAAACATGGGAAGCTGGAAAGGCTGCAGGAAAAAAAGGAGTACACAAAGAAATAAACCACACGTATTATGAGCCATGTGAGATAAATACAAGAACACAGAATAGGAACTATGGGAATTTCTCACGTTCAACATTTTTCTGGTACAGTTGTTTTTCCATACAATTAAATGTGAGTGGTCAAAAATATGCAGATAAAACTTTCAGCACAATAACACACAGAATTCAATGAGACTTACTTCTGAATCAGGATTGCCTTACACTAGAATGCATACATGCACTCCTGTGCACATCTATCAACTCAGAAATAAGTGCCACTGAGTTAATCTAGACTTGCTCCCAGGTATAGAATTGGGGCCTGAAGCTTTTTGCTCCAAACAATGACTTCACCTGTTTGCAATAGCAATTTTCTTAGCCCCTAAGAATGTTTATTTGACTATTTAGTGAGTTAGACCTCACCAGTGCATGTGAAACTCACTGTCATGGTTTATGATTATCATGAGGACATGCCTTAAAGCTAATTTTCTAGTTTATATTTTCCTGAGATACATCTTGGTTTTCCAACTATAATTCCAGACTGTATAATTGAAGCAAACTAAAACCATCCTGTCTTGGATAGCTTTTGAAATTTTATTTTGCAGCTATCTATCATAATCAGAGCAGTTGAAATTAAGTGGATGAATGACTTCATTAAATACCCTGATCTCTAACATATGATTTACAGAACGCTTAAATACATATGTAATTGAGTGTGTCTGAAATTAGAATGAATGGCATATGGCCACCTTAGAAAGCCACTCCCACCCAAAGTTTAGAAGGAAGTTCTTTGATCAGTCTCACACTCAGACATTTTTTTTAAAATCACATTGATTTTAAATTGAAAATGTTTTTTTTTCTAAAATTCTGTTTTAAACAGTTTTTTTGTGTTGTGGGCCTATTATTTAGTTTCAATGGCAACAGTAGATGATGTTGTATATTTCTATTGATTAATTATTAATTAATGTTAATCAATAATTACCAGTAACAGTGACAGAGCGTACAAAACTAAAACATCAGAGTGTTTTGCAGAGTTAAAAAGAGACACAAAATTAATCTCTACATGTTATATACTTTAGAAAGGAAAACTATTACAAAAGGGGGAAAATCAGTCCATATGGTACCGTCATTTCATGCTTAGCTCTTTTTTTAACAATAGCATCATAAGACCTCATTGCTAGAAGTTACTTTGGCTAGTTTCAATTGTGATACATGACCACAGTTTCTGCTATTAGTAATTTGTAACTTATACCATAGTTCAAGTTCCAGATATACAGTACAAGAGACAACCCACAATTTAGAACTGTTTACCTGCTTTTGTTTCCCATCCATCTGGGCACTTATTATTTTAAGTTTAGAAGTTCACTCATGTCTCCGTGGGATGTTTACAATTAATGTAACTGCAGTTTGTCAGTTGTCTGTGAATTCATGGCAAATCACACGTAGAACAGTTGCAATTTGCAAGTAAATTTCTAACAGCACTTTCAAGAAAAAACATAGCTTATGGTTAAGCTTAGCTGGAGAATATGATTTTAAACAAACTATAGAACTGTAGAATTGGAAGGGACACTGGAGTTCAGGATCTAGCATTTAGGACACAATATCCTTGAGAGATGTCCAATCAACTTCTGCCAAAATATTTCCAGTAAAGAAGAGTTCACCACTTTCACTATCAAGCAGCTTGTATACTTAGGAATTTAAGATAATATTTGCCAAAAGCTATTCCCTATTCCCTAACTCCAGACTTGCTATTTGAAGTAACAGAACTGTGACCACTGTGTTGTACAGAGAAATATGTGCAATAAGTGTAAGATTCTGATCCTCCATTGGACAAGAATAGCTCTTTGAAATTTTGCTTCCTATACCAACTCAATGCAAGCTAGATTTATCCAGCCATTGTTTTATGATTGTGTAAATTAATGGCATGCCTGCTATATTGGGCATCTTGCATTCTTCGGCTGTTTCAGAATACTTTATAATTAGCCACAGGTTAGCCTTAAGGTCTCCACCTATCCTTTTCTCCTTTCTTAACTTGTACACTTTCTTAGCTTATAAGCAGATGAAAGAATTGTATTTTCGGACTGCATTCTTCACCACTAGGAGCCAATGGGCAGGTTCAGGTTTCACAGGACCCCGGGCAAGTGGTCAGTCTCTTTTCCAGTGGAGACATGCCATCTGCTTCCCAATTTACCTTCCAATGTCATTTCTCACATGCTAGGAGAGCAGCAAGGAAGGCAAATTGAGAGATAACAAAACAATGTTTTTCTCACTGAAAAAGGACCTCACTGTGTATTGGCATAGTAGAACATGTGAGAAATGTATAATCAGCCAGCACACCACTGAACACAGGCAGCTGGATTACAGAGGCATTGAAGATTGCAACCTTGTGTGCTATCTCTCTTCCACTCTTCTTCTCATCCAAGCATTTGTTTACTACTTCTCTGCACTCCGTTTTCCTCCCACTGAGTCTTCTGTATGTTCTTAATTTCATTTGCTACTTGCACCCCCTGTGATAATTATTTTCTGCTACAAAATGGCAGTAGAGAGCTTCCATGCCTGTTTTAATTTTTCCTTAAATATAACACATCCCTTCTGTTCCTCCTCCAACTCCTCCCCCCCCCTTATCCCTTCTCATGCGCTCCCCACTCTCTGCCCTGTCCTCACCCCTTGGAAGGGAAATGCACAAGCCCTGCTCTTTTATGGGCAATGGAGAAAGGAAGGAATCCCTCCAGAACTCCATGAAATGGGAAGGCAATGGGAGGAAAGGTTTAGGAAATGGAGCGGGAGCTTAGGGCTATTAGTTCTTTATTTCTTGCAGAGGGTGAGAGGCAGCCACGCTGAGAGCACCCCACACCCATTGTTAGAAGCTGTGTTGAGAACACTCTCTCCAATGACATCACAAATGATGTCTGAAAATCTTTTTTGTACACACCTCCTGGGCACAAGGTTTGTTCAAAACAAGGGAACAGACAGCAATAACAGATCTGGAAGGACCTGTGCTGCAACAAAACAAAAACCAGTTCCGAAATAAGGGAAAAGAATCCAGAAATACAAGAGATTGATTTGAGTCTTAGCTAACATTGGATAGATCTCTTGAACTATTCCAAATCAGTGACTGACTGAATCACCTCTCAAACAGGAGGAAGTACGATGTGTGAATGGGCTATGAATTGGTTGCTTTCTTATAGTCATAAAGTGAGCTCTACTTTAACATTGGGCTCAGTGTTAAAACAAGTGTTTAGTTCTTGGGTAACTCTCAAGCATCCTTTCCATGTTCCTTCTAACCATTTCTGCCAACTTCTCACCCATCTTCTGCCAGTGTATGTAGATCAAGACATTCAGTAAAGCTAGCCACAGAATTTTGATTCCCACCACCCTGAGTACAGAGGACATTCAGCACAGCCTTGCTTGCTCCATCTCCCTTGCTCCCTTGCTCCTTGAGACATTTAAAGGACATAAAACTAAGATTTAGGCACTATTTAAGAGGCTGGTGAATTGATAGGTCTGGAGACTGAAAAAGTGAGTAAGGTAGTGGTAGTGGAATTGGTTAGTACTAGTGTTGTTGTAAAAAAAAGAAGTGGGGTGTCATAACGTGAGTCACTGCAAGTGGAAGGTCTACATGTATATTCTTCAGCCCATGAAGGACCAGAATCTAGTTTACCAGAGACTATAGATTTCCCCAGGTTGCTCCAGGGTGTTTGTATTTTGCAATTCTTACTGATGCCAAGCTCAATTTTACTTCTGGCTATATATTATAGATAGTATAGACCTCACATGCCCACCCTATATTACCCTATGAAATTTGAGCCAAATGCACTGTTAGTATGATGCCTAAGCCAAATTGCAGAAACCTGTTGAGGAAATGCAGAGAAGAAAGGCAATCACGTCAGGATACTCCCAGCCTTTTGGATACAGATGGGGTATAGGATATAAATTAAGATGAAACATATTGCTGAGAATATATAAATATTCCCAATTGTGGTGAGTTACACTGTATATGTAAGTTGTGATTCCATTTGTCATTTATGTTTTTGTTATATTGTGTTTAAATAAATACTGTATTTTTCTGTGTATAAGACAACACCCACTTTTCTAAACCCAAATTAGAAAATTTGATCACTGTTTTCCCCCTCCACTTCCTAAGCCCCACGAAAGCAGGCTCAAAG